TTAGGACGAATAAAATCCTAAAACCAAAAAAAAAAACTCAGCATAATGAAAAAAAAAATTGTATTTTAGCATTCTACAATTTTTAGTGATAAAAAACATTTTTTAAAATCAAATTTACGACCTATAGACAGTATAAAAAAGATATCTTTGATAAATAATTTTATGCCCACGTTAGTAATTGTATTTCCATGTTTGAATAACAGATATTTTATCATTAGCGGCACCATCAAAGTAGGTCGCCATTGATAAAATTCTTATAATAAAATTCATAGCGGTAATATTGTTTAAATATAAAATCAGCAGATTTTATATTAAATGGTACTGTGCATGTAATAATGTTAATTACTATTAAAATCTTATTACATTAGGGTATAACGATAGATGTTATAGGTGGATTTAGAATCCTATCGCTATAAATTCAGAATCCACTTAAGTGGGGCTCGGCTCTTAAAATGATTTGAGTGGGAGACGAGATTTCATGCATATAAATCTTTTTAATTAATCATAATCATGTAACTGAATTTGCCGTATCTTTCAATTGCTCTCAACTAAAAAAAAAAATAATATATCTTATATATAACAAACCAATATGAATTTATTTCGAGACTACAGTAGTTTTTAATAATTTAATTAATAATAAATAAATAATTTGACAGGAAATCACTAGAAGATGTCACAAAAGTTTTATTTCGCTAACTGATTATGATATTATTTCGGTTCTTAATGAACCTAATAACATAAACTTGGGAATCCCTTCCTAAAGGAAAATTGGGAACTGAAAACAAACCGAATACTTAAATTATTACGGTTACCAAGAATGAAAACGGGATCAGAATTAATTCGATGTCCATTTAATCGTCTCGATGATATGGGCTGCCATCAATAGAAATCAAGCAGATTACAACTGTTATTATTTCTGGGACCTGATAATTTTTGCTCGCTAACGAATCATCTCAGTTTCATCCGGTAAATTGCCTAATCTCAGTCTGAAGACAACGACATAGTTTCCGAGAGATTAGGCAATTTACCGGATGAAACTGAGAATGATTCGGTAGCGAGCAAAAATTATCAGGTGTCCCAGAAATAATGATAACAGCTGTAACTATATTTACTATCCGGGTTGGTTTTTTTTATGTTTCTTATATATAAAATTTTTTGAAAAAAAATTAAAAGCCGGGTTGCCGGGTCATCTTCTAAATTTTATGTTATGAGAACCAAAAATACCAGTTTGTATAGCCTAATTAAGACAATATTAAAAGTTTTTAACGTTAAAGTTTTGCGCTTTCTACGTCAATTCAATTATTATATGATTGTTTGAGTTGCTAAATTAGTAATAAAAACTGTCTTATTTCAAATTTTGCAAAAAAAAATATTTTATACTTGTTGATCAATAGTTAGTCTATACTACAAGTATATTTGTAACTATATGAATTTATAAATTCTTATCAAATACTAATTATATTGATTATTTTTTTTTTTAATAGAGATTGGAACCGTTATTCGTTTAATCGCATATATATATTATACGGTTAAACGAAGAGTTTTAATAAACGATTAAATAAATTATTCGGGTTAATCATTAATGTCCGTGATTTGATTGGCAGTTACACTCATTCATCACATTCTTTCTCGTTTGTGTTATAGTTCCGGTATCGGGAAATTTTTGAGTGGGGATCTAATTATAGATAATCATTTCATTCTTGATTCTTATACTTCACTGGCTTTACTGAGAGGGGAAACAGAACTTGCGACTATAAGTACCAATTTCTTTTTTTTCTTTCTTTGTTATTGGTTTCTTTTATTAATTTTCTTTCTTTAGTAGGGTTTGTGCTTCGCTGGGAACGTAAAATTGGCGCTGGTGAACGTGAAATGGCGATCTTAACTTGTAGGAACTGGAACTTGCATTGCTATTATTCTATACATTTTTCAATAATTTGTCCTTTTTCTAGGTTTTATATTGTAATGAATGGGATGAAAGATATGAAGTCACGTTGTAATTTTGGATAGTTAAAGAATTAAACGATTAAACGGTTAATAAACGGTTATACGATTCGGTTAAACGACTAAACGGTTAAACGATTATTACGATTATTACAGCTGTTAACTCTGGGACACCTAAAAATTTATTCGTTTCCCGAAATCTCTTCGGTTTCGGGAAACGAATAAATTTTTAGGTGTCCCAGAATTTATAAAAACAGCTGTAAATCGTGTAACTTATAATTAAGCGACGCGATTGATCGCTAGCATAATTTTTGCTATTTTCTAATTTCAGTTTTGATTAAGTAGTCTGTTTAGCTAGTGCTTGATTTTACTAAGACTTTGAATAGTTATGCTGTATTCGTTGCAGTTTGAATTTGGTTAAATAGATTTTAGATTTAAAAAAGCTTATTAACCAAAAATTTTTTTTTTCTTTTAAGATTGAGTTTCTTCTTTTTTTTTCCTTTTGCATATTTAAAAAATATATATCTTTCTATTTGGTATGTTAAAACTTATGTGTTATAATTTTGATTAATTTGAATATCTACACAGAAACCTGACCAAAAAGATACTGTTGGGAAAAATGAGAACATCACGTGAAAAGTTTACTATTTATTTATCTGGGTCATTGTAAAAAAGTGAAATGACCTTGAAAATTGCCAACACTGAAAAGATATGCCTCTACGTGGCAGCTAGGACAAGCTCAGTAGCTAAAACCAAATATCCCGTATTCTTTGTATTAATGAGTAGGGCATTAGGAGATGAACAATACAACTTGTTTAACTACAATTGTTGGAAGAAACTATTTTAAATAAGATGAAATGATGAAACTACTGCGAAAGACAAAAATGAAAAAGCTCTGATAGAAGGTAAATTAGTCTGCAAAATAAGATCTCGGAATATTTTAGTAAAAGACTAAAACTTTCATTATCAGGTTCTAACTTTCAAAAATTATATTAGAATCTTGACATTTCTAACTCTAAAAAGTAATAATATTTTAGCATATTAAATACAATCGAATACTCATTTGTGTCTATGTTAACAAGCCAATCCATATATCTTATCATTTGCGAAAAAATTGATATATCCTGTAGATTCGGAATCCACTTAAGTGGGAAATTTCATGCAAACGGAAAAATTATATAAATCTTTTGATTAATCGATGTTCATATATCCAAAGTGATCAAATTATAACTGAATTTGTCGCATCATTTAATTGTTCTCAAAAAAAAAAAGAAAAAAAAATGTCAAGCCAAGAATATGAATTCATTTTGAGACTAGATTTAATAATTTATTTAAAATACATTTATATCTGATTATGATATTATTTTGGTTCTTCATGAACCTAATAACAAAAGGTAGACATTGGATTAAATATGCTTTTTTCAGCTCGAAAATTGGGAACTAAAAACAATCATGAATACTCAATTATAGTTGACAAGAATAAAAATGGATCAGAATTAATTCGTACTTTATGTCCTTTTAATGTCTCTATGATATTTTATGTGAGGTTCCAATTTCCTATGTAGAAATGGTTGCCATACCAAATAGCGCAAAATGTAATAATAAAGAATAATCATTTATTTATGTAGATACGCAATAATAAAGAATATTCCTTTATTTTAGATACGCAATAATAATTTTTTATTATAATCAATTTAATCATTCGATAGTTTAAATTCTATTTTCACTAAGTCATTTTTAGGATTCTAAATCAATTTAAGTCAATTCGGTAACCACTTAAGAGAATTCCGAATCCACTTACAACATATAAAAGAAAATGAGTGAATAGGATTCTAAAAAAAAATAATAATAATCTGGGCTTATTTCTCTTCATATGTTAGATGTATAGTATTTGTACTTTTCTGAAAGCTATTTCTAAAAAACTTAATCATGATAGATAATAGTAACTTGACACATCCATTAGTTAGAATAAGCAAACATTCAAAAAGTTAAGTTTTATACTGTATAAAGTATAACAGTGAAAATAATCATAGTATTTTAAAATTTAAGGATCATTTAAATACTAAAGATTTATTACTAAATAATTATTAAATGAAAAAAAAAACAAGAATGTTACAATAAAATTTCTATATAATTAGGTACATTTTTTATTGCATTTTAATGTTTTATTAAAATCTATACTTATTTATATTAAAGACAAATATTAACTCTTTCTCTTTTTGGTTACACCATATCTCAATTTTTGCTTAGCAAATTCCTCATTTTTCCTTTTTCGATTTTGTTTTTTCATTTCATTCTTTTGTAATTTTCGTTTCGCAGCAGATTCTGGATCAACGATGGCCTAAAAATAAAAATTAATCAATAAATTGGTTGAACAATGTCGTTATAAAATAAGTATTTAAAAATTGGATTGTATATTACCTCAATAACTCGTTTATGTTTCCTTTCCCTTCTCACATCAAATATTTGTTGTCTTATTTTATTGTATGCAATATGATATTGAGTTGTGCCAATACGCTTCTGTAATAAATCAAGAACTTCTTTTCCAAGTTGTTTAAGATTATCTTTATAAAAATGATACAAGATGTTAATTATAAACTTATCAAGATCTTATAGAGAGAATCCCGTGATAGTATATGGGGTGTATTGTATTAAAGTGTCCATTTTACAAATTTTAAACATTTTAGATATAAAAAGATTCGAGAATTATTAAAACCGATTATAACCGGAAAAAGTTTATACATAAAATGGACCATTTCAATACTGGACACACCATATATTTTATCACATAAAAGTCCTCCACTTCGCATAGTAATGATTACCTATATTTTGACCTTTAATTGTTTCATCGTTTGTCAAACGATATATAGGTGAGATTATAAATAAGAGATAAGAAAGTACTAAATCGTTTGGTGACATGTAGGTAACCATTGCGGCAAGCCATTGATATATACTTGTTCGCTAATAAATGAAAGCAGAGATGAGTTTTTTGCATAGTAAAAAATTATTCCGCGATTTAAGTATACCTGATAATCAATCTCTTCGTTATTGCAAGAAGCAAACCTTGCTTGATATGATAATTTTTTGAATAACCAAAGTAAGGATGGCTTTACTTTAACATTATCGGTTGTTTGGTTATTTATAATCTGATGTATATTTTTGTCTACATCATCTACATCGTTATAATTTTCATTATCAATATCTTTAGATACAGATTCTTCATTATTATTTCCATCCTTTTCTTTTATAAGTGAATTGTCTACCTCATCTTCTTCATGATAAAAGCATTTTCCAATGAAAAACAGGTTTTTCACAATTTGTGTTGCAAGTTCTTGTCCCAAAAATTTGCTTTTCAATTGTATACAGAATGATGTGGCTAATTTTTTCAGTATGTCCCTTGTTAAATAGTCATCTTCTTTATTTGACCCCGTAGCAATCATAGTCTCTGGATTAATACTAGCAAAATACAGTCCAAAAAGTCTGCTTGATGCGAGTCTTATCCAAGAATGTGAATGGAGAATATGCCTTTCAACCAGTGTCCATATTTTGTTGCATTCTTCAAAATAAATAACAGTAGGGAAAGATTTAACAAGTTTAGTGAACGTATTTAATGAGTAATATCCAATCTCCCAATCAACATCAATGATCATGTCTTCTACTTGATCATTATCATCCCCGTCATTCGAACACGCAAGCTGATCCATAATTTGAGAACTTGATTGAAGTGCAATACCTAGAATATCTAACAATTCTGGAATGTGTCGTTTAAATTTGTCGTCAAATGCTTCAATTACAAGCCCATAAATTTGTACTGCCATTCGTTGTAAACTTTTTTTCTCTGTTTGAGTAAACCATTTACCTAACAAGATATAGGTATTTTTTAATCGTTGTTCATCCATTCGCCTCAATAACATTTTAATCAAAACACCTGCCATTTCTCGACATTTGTTAGAATCGTCATTGACTAACGAAATAGATAAAGACAGGAAAAACATTTCGGCATATTCCATTAAAATTTCATCTCCGAATTTAGTAATTATTAAACTCATCATTTCCATTGCTGATTTCCTACCACTTTCAAAGGTATAATTTAAATTTTTGACTAGAAAATTTATTTGATTCTTGAGACGTCCACGTCCTTGTGGATAATCCAATAAGAATTGGAATAAAAGTTGCCTAGAAAGGTCACGTGTTTGAGAAGTTTGACTCGTAATCATTATTTCAGAAATTGTTTGCATTAAATCATAAATCTCCGGAACTACAAATTTACGTGAAATTATAGCTTTAATTAAAGAGAAAGTTGTACTTTGCCTTTGAGGCTCTTCAAGATCAGGTCGAATCAAATTAATTAGGATGGTTAATTGATTTTCTTTAAGTTCAGCTTGTTTACAAATACGTATTATAACTGTAAGCAATTTAAAGCAAGTTTGTACAAGCTCAGAATTCGTAGAGTCCGATGTTTTTATCAACACAAAAGTTTGCTTCACGATAACAGGTAAAGCATCATTCAAGGACTTAAGTTTCAGACCACATAATATGTGCATTATTTTGATAGCAAGAATGTTAATATTCAAGTGCTTGGAATACATGGCATTTCCAACTATATCAACGAATTGGTCTAACATAAGCAGTTGTTCTTCGGATTTTGTATCAAACTTTTCGTGTTTAAGAGCAGATAAAAATATTGACAATCCAAATTGCACAAAAAGATGTGCATTTGTGTCAAAATAATCAACAGGTTCAGTAATATTACGTTTTAATTGCACCGTAAAGTTCATTTCTAATTTTGTCTTAACGACTTTGACTTTTGGTACTGATTTTGATATATCAAGATTCTGAGATACGAGCCCTTTACATAATTTTATAATTTCTTTAATCTCGAATTCAGGATTATTATTCAACCCTATTGCCACTTTTTGTAATAATTCTTCAACTTTTCGTAAAATCTTTAAACTTTGAGTTTCTCTCATAATATCTTTAAGTGGCGCCAATAAGATACCAATATTCTTGAATTGAATAATTTTTGCAAGTATTTCAAATGATCCAAAACCCTTCTTAGCTTTCATTTCCTTTGATTTACCTGTCATTTCTTCCGCATCTTTTTCTTCTGCAACATGGCCAAATATATCATTTATAATAATATCTACAATTAATTGAAGACAATAATCAACATCTCCAACTTTTAAAATTGAGACTAAATTAAGCAAAAGAGAATGTAAGGTATATCCAAGGATATGCAGTTGATAGCCTCGCGTAAGTGCGCCTTGTAATTCTTTTACAATAAATGAAAAATATATAGGACCAAGGAAATTTGAAATTTTAACAAGGGTATCTCTTGTTGCATCACGAGTATCTTGGCTACGACTTCTTAATATTTGACATAATGTAGTAAGTAATCCTGGTAAATTGAGGCGAAGTGTCGCCTCAGGCAAAGCTTTTAATAATTTTGTGATCGCAAATGCTATTGGTACTCGTACTGCAATATTATTATCATCACATTTGGCCAAATATAATTTCAACTCGGGAAGTACTTGACATATTATAGTATCATGAATACGTTGAGACAAAACTTTTGCGGTCATATCATCAGTCGATATATAAATATTTGATGACTCATCCTGTTTGTTTAATTCATCATCGTCATCATCATTATCTTCTTCTTCAACATATTCAGTCATATTATCGCCTTCTTTTTGTTGAGGTTCATCACATGTTTCGTTTTTATCATCTTTTTCTAATAATTTATTTGATGACTGAGATTGCAGATCTCCAACTACGATATCAGAAACATCGAAATGAAAATTATCCAGAATGATAATGATGGTCCTAACTAGTATTTTTTCTAATGTTAGCTTCCGAGAAATGTGTTTCATGTATTGTTTTAAAAGAGCATAATATTGACCCCATTGAAGTTGACTAGCAATAATGCCAATCGTTAAAATAGTTTCATTAATTAATATATGATCATTAATTCGATCTGATTCAAAAATAAAGTGTCCTAAAAGTGGTAAAAATATTTGCACAAGATTGGCATTTTTTAGTTTTCCCATAGCGCATTCATTGGAGAGCCTTTTAAGTGCACGTACACGACGATGTATTTGAATATGATAAATATTATTGAAAAAGTTTGCCTCTTCATCATCAAACAACAAACAAGACATATCTACAAACTGAGGCAACATGGAACATTTTTTAACAGCATAACATAATACTGAAAGAAATTCCATACGAACTAGTTCTATCGGTAATTTCATGCCTTTTTTGATTGCAGGATATATTATATTAATTAAAATATTACGAAATTTGTTTTGAACTTCTAATTCCGCATTATTATGATTTTCCACAAAGCGATCAATAAAACGAATAATGCAATAAGATGAATTATTCCGAATTGAAAGTTCTTCGGGATCTTGAATAAAATAAATGCAATTATATATTAATGGCAACCATTGCATTGCTGAAAACCTTTTATAAGATTCTTGGTTAATACGATTAAAAGCGTCTAATCGTCTTTCAAAATCCGGTTCATTTAATCTAACTGTAGAGAAAGCATTAAGTTCTTTAATAACTTCAACTACTTCTTGTAATGTATTATCCAATTTAGAAAATTCTTCGAGTGCTTCAACCAAAAGAATACGACATTCTCTAGAACGAATCGTAGAAAATTCTCTAGATATAAGATTATAATACATTATAAATAGATCATTTGATGATTCAAATCCTGGAATGATGCGTAAAAAGTTTTTAATTATTTTTAATATATGTGCTTTAGTTTGTTCAGGGACAAATCGTGGGGATTTCCGAAGATATGGAAGTAATAAATCAACCAATTTTTTGGCTTGTACCCCATTATTAACATATACCGCAATCTGTGAAAGTATTGAAATCTCTCGTTTAGAAAATGTATCTTTAGCGAATGTACCATTTTGACTATTTTGTAATAATCCATATTCCAGGTTATCTAGCAAAGAAGAAATGTGAGGATGTATCACTTGAGTGATCAAAGTTGTGTTTTCGGTTTTGATAAGGTCATCATCAATTTCCATTTCATTGTCACATATTTTCAATATATTTTCAATAATATTCAAAACCATCGAAACAACTGACATTCGAACTTTTTTCGCAGATAGACATGCGAATATTTTTGGTAACACTTCTTTATTGTAATCAACTAAAAATAGTAGGTAGTCTCTGTTTGAAGCCCATGTAAAGAATAATTCCATTAATGCAGAAGGTGCTTGTGTATTTTCAATGTTCAATTTTGGAATTCGTAATGAAATAAATGAATTGAACATTGTGTTAATGTAGGGTTGATAATTAAAAGATGAACGAATCTTGAAAAACTCGTTAATTCTTTTTAAGCCGAGTTGCCTAATAACTTTGAATTGTTGGTTATGATTTTTTATGTCATTAGCTGTTTCGATATCATCAATTTTCATACTACTATCCAATGTAACTTTGTTTATTCCATCTTCTGCTAACAAATTCTTTTGTACACTGTCAACTATATACAAAACAACTTTAAACATATCCGGAATAAAGGGTATTAAATAAGTCCCTAATTGTTTCAAGCAGTCTTCTAAAAAATTCAGATATCCAAGTTGTTTTCGATAAGAAACGATTTTATCAACAGATATATTTGGTACAAATTTGAATTCATTATCAATAATGTCTGGTTGTTGACGAATAATGGTAAAAGGTTCCAAAAGTAAATTAACAAGAAATTCAAGCTCGGATTGATTGCAATTGACTAATGCAGACAAAACAGCTATTCTTCTGGCACCCATTCCAGTCTTTGATGAAGCTTTACCCCTTCTTGCAATCACCCTACCATATAAAATACGTATGATAATTGGCATTACTTCAGCCCTATGTTCGAATTCTATTGAGCCATTTTCTAGGTTAAATGAAAATGTTGATAATTCATCTCTAAACTTTGCCTCATCAACAAGATTTCGAAGATTATTTTCATAAGGAGTGACACCTTTGAACTTCCATGTAAACATACATTCTAATGCAAGACTCTGTATTTTGATGTCTCCTTTCATTAATAACCGCAAATAAATATCTTGTAACTCTGCAGATTTATAAACTGATCGTGGGTTTTTGAATTTAGAAAATAATTTTAAATAAAGTAACAGTTGTGATTTGAAACTCTTTGAGGCTTGTTCAGCTATCACAAAATCATCTTCTTTCTCATGATCAATTTCCATTTTCTCGCATGAGTTATTATTTTGTCCAGAAGGTGTTATCACTCTGGTTTCTTGACCTTCCTTAATAATACTTACTTTATCAATAGAGTCTTCGGCAGCTGCACTATGTCGAAGAAAAAAAGGAACCAATTGTCGAGAGTTTTGTTCAGCAATATGGGGGACTTCAGTCAGCGTCCTAATCAAGAGACCATAGTAATTCCAATGATCAAAATTTACACTTTCTGGAACACAAATCTAAAATAAAAAATAAAAAATATAAATGAGTTGGAATTTAATATAAACTTATAATGGTAAGTGAAAATTATTATTACCGAAATAAAATGAACAACATAACTGTTGACCAAATTGCTGACTATGAATTTATATGCATTGTTAACCGACTTGTTGAATTTAGACATATTAAGACAGTCAAAAGATATCCCGCTATATTTGGTAGATATAGTTGATAAATTTGTATCTTCATTAACATAAAATTCAAAGGCCTTCGTAGAAAATCCAGAATATGTGAATTTAAATTCGCTAAGACGCAATATTTCAGCATGCAACAATTTCCAGAAAGTGCGAGGATCATTCTGTGCAACATTTGCAAGCACATTGATTGCCTCTGTCCAGATAGCACTAAAGTTGATGGACAGTAAACCTTATAAATCAACAAAGATAATCAATGTATAAATAACAAATTCAAAATCCTAAACACATCGGAAGATAAATATGTAATGGAACGCTTTCAAACCAAAGCAAAACAATGGTGTAACTTCTGAATAAAACTCTGGTATTCGTTTAGTAGATATCAATGTATTTATCTTTCGTAAGATCATAGTCTTGTTACGATATGTTGCGACAGATGTTTCAATTTCCTCAACTTTATAAGCCATTGCGAATAGTTCGCAGGGCTCCTGTTCGTTTTTAGAAGCATCTTCGTTGTTGTTAAGCGGAAATTGATCAAAATGCATGAGAATTTTCAACGAATATAACCGATATTGATGTATATATGAGCCGATATTGCTCTTTAGATGGGGGTAGATTTTCTCCAAAGCCTTTGTATCAAATAAAAAGGCATTCTTTTTGCTAAAGAAAAAAAAATCAGAATAAATTCCCAAAATAATCTCAATATAAAATAAATTTAAATACCTTGCCCGCATATATATTATATATTCCGAAATAGATCTCAAGATAACTTCATTTGTACAAAATACTAGTAAAATATCATCAACAATAATATTCCATAATTCAACTAAATGTTTTATTTCATTGCCTCCTAAAGAAGTTCGGCATAAATTAGTTATAGTTTCAATTGCTTGTCCCAACAAGTTTTGTGCAAGCACGTATGGAAAACCGTGCGTCAAAGGCCGTTTTGTATACGGCATTATTGAGGAAGAACTTTTAAGGTATTGAACCAATGACTTAATCAAAGACAATAGAGAATTAAATGTTTTCAAAAATGGCACAGACACATGCGTTATTATAGTGAGAGTTGCGGAGACCAGAGTTAAAAACGGAATTTGAGTATTTTCCTTGAATAATGATATAAAATATAGTCAAATACAACAATAATTTGAACATTAAATACTATAAGTTCATTATCACCTACCGAATCTAAATCTAACAAGCTCATTTTATGCACCTCTGAGGCCCAATCACAATCACGAGTTATCAAACTTATTAGTCCATCTATGACATTTCCAGAGTCATCTTCAACACATGTTATTTCTTTCATACTAACACTGGGAAATTTTAATAACCCTTCCTTTGTAACTATTGAGGAAATGGTTCCTGAAGATATCGAAATAGTTTTTGTGAACAGTAAATGAGCAAGAAAAATGGTAATTTTCGATGAAGCTAATTTCCAATGAGTCGAAGAAAACCTATTTCATTTGATCAAAAAATAAAATCAAATATCTTATAAAAATTTAATTTAATGACACATAATGGTATTTATTTTTGAAAATATACCTAACTATATACAGAAGCATGAATTGTGTATAATTCTCCCATTGTAGGTTCGCTAAAGATAAGCAGAATGATAAAACAGTATCGACATCCTATAAATTAAAGTTGATATATGATATTTAATAAATTATAAAACATATTATACATTAAAACATTATATATTGAAATCTAAATGTTTATATACATTGTACTCGAAAATTTTATTCAAAATGCCCTTTCCACTGATAAGAAAGTCCTCCAATTTGGCTTGCATCATCAATGATGTACATGATTTGAAAAATTGCTGGCGAAGAAAGTTTTGGGAATTTGACTCAATTAAATGTGGTACTAGAACGTACCGCGCTAGGTTTTTTATTATATTGAAAACGCGTTTTAAATCTTTTAAATAATTGTAAAAAAAATTAATTATAAATATTGATTCAACTAAACAAAAACAGAATATTGATTCAAATAAACAAAAATAGAATATTGGATAATATAAGTTATCAATACCATTAACACGACTGCCTTTGCGAACTGTCATGCATATATAAACAAAAGATAAATTTATCCCAAACTTTACAACCGTTATTTCAGGTATGAGGTTATCTTCATTAGCATTATCTTGAACAACAGAGTTTAGGTCGTTTTCTATCTCACTTAAATATAAATTCCACACAGGTCCAAAATATTCATTTTTAGTATGATGAATAAGTGCAACAGTGGTCATAGTAAGAATATGATAGGCAGAGTTGCTTTCTGATGATAAAAAATTTATAAATAGGGATGAATTTAAAATAATATTCCTAAAAAGTTGGACTAAAAAGAGTTTTTTTTTTTTAATTTTTACCAATGCTGACATCATTTTTTGAACGTCTATATGAAGCATTTAGCAATTCCTTCAATAGTATTGGAGCATTGGGATGAAGCTTATTATCCGGTGCCTTAAGGAAATAGGATGCCTTGGTTAATAATCAAGAAATTAAATAATTTTTTCGTAAATAAGAATATTGGCGTTTTAAATTGTACCTGAATAGCTTCATAACATAAAATGCCCAACCCTTCGCAGTAAGAATCGCTCGGCGATTCATCAAATGAATCAATTATATAATTAATTATTTGAGTAAGGGTTTCAGCACGTGCATGACGGAGGAGGAATGCAAATGCTTCAGCAGCGAACCGACGAACATAGGGTTTTTGATATTCTTCGCCAAGTAAAGGTGCTATGAGTCTAATTGGATATGAACTACTTATATTACACTGATCATCAAAAAAGTTTATAAAACCACCCTACTTCTAGGAAAAAAATTCCTACCGATAAGTTGTACACAGATCCTCAATTATTTGATTGAATAGGAATTTAAATAAATAGGCTATGCATTTAAATGTCCACTTTCAGAAAATTCAATGTTAGTAAATACTTGAAAAAAAAAAATTTATTTATTTATTGTGAATATTCATAGGTACCTCCAGTTTCTTGACATCTCGAAGTCTTGTAAGAGGTATTATTGCTCCAACAATTCGCTCAAAAAACGGATAAAAATCTATTTCAAGATCTCTTGATAGTTTCGTAACAAGACTAAGAATAAATATATTAATTGATGCTTAATTTCACCAGTAAATTTATATATGTATAATATAACATTAATGTATGTACTCTAGCAATGGTTCCAAGGCAAGACTGTCTTCGACTTGAAGGTGCTTTTCCAAAATTTGAATTATCTTTTCTTTATGATATATTAATTGAGGTAATGACTGACAATACTCCGAGACTTCACGAACAAAAATTACAAAGTGCGTTGACAAATTGAGTTCTTTCCACGATTTCAGAGATTCATTAAAGAATGATCCAAAACCCTAAAAAATGAATTAATAATTTTTAGTGGAAAAAAAAGTCTTCTAATAAAATCAATATTTGCTAACTATTAATAATTGACGATATTTGTAAGCCAGAGATTTAAAATTCAATTAATCAAAATATCTAATTTCAAATTTTATTTGATTTTGCGGAATGCTAAGTACTGTTGACAAAATAAATACCTCGGGATCTTGTTCTTTTGTTGCAGTATGTGTGATATCGATTTTCACATTTTCTACGAGAACATTGAAGGATTGATACTAATGCAGTAGAAGGAATTATTATAATGTCTTATCTATAAATGCGCATGTTCAATGACTGTATATTACCTTGTACCGATTTTTTCCACCTCCAGTATTTAGCTCTTTAGTCATTATTGCCTTTGACTATTATACTGTCTTGGTCATATGAATAATTGATTATCTGTAAAAAAAAAAAAAAAAAAAAATCGAGTCACATGTTTCCGACAACTATTACAGCCAATACTGTAATAAGCAATTACAATTTATCGGTTTGCATTCCATGATATACGTACTCATAATATTGTATTAAGCAAAATCAATAATTTCGTTATCTGATTAGTCAAGTTATGAGAGTATTACGAAAAATAGAACAAAGTTTTAATACTTTCATATAACATAGGTTCGTGACCCTCAATTGTTTTTTTTCTCTTGATAGTTCAATTTGAAAATTGTAAATTATTTGCAAACTATACACAATTTTATTGTTAAAGTACAATACGTTATTTATCTTTTAAAGAAATATCTGAATCTTTGATATCATCTTTTATACTCAAAATGATAATTGAAGAAATATCGAAAATTTTCATGCAATATTTAATGCTGTTTATTTGTTTAATAATTTCATCGTCTTTGGATTTTACAAGTATTTTCCTAGTCTTGCAAGATGATAATTAATAGTATTCGAGTGATTTGACTTTTTTGGCTTTTTAATATTGATTAAATTTTTGTATCGTTAGAATATTAAAATTTTTCATCGAAAAAAAAAAAAAAGCACTTACAGCATTACGCATACATTCAGTAAGAGCTTCTACTGATTTTTTGCAAGCAGGGGAATCCACTGAGCTATTCGACCAACAAGTTAAAACTGCGGCAATTTCAGCAGTGCAAGGGCCAATTTGTTCAATTCTTCTTGGACGTAATTTAAGCTTTTTTATTTTCATTTTTTGTTATGTAAAAAGTTTATGCTATCGGGGAAAGTGTAAGTTCATTTTTATTGGCTGATAAGCAAGAATTCTGATTGGCACGTGTATATCTGAATTACAAGCAATGTGTGATCGTCAATTATAGTTAGGGTTGCAATTATACTGGTATAATAAAAAATAGTAGTATAATACTAAGTATAATATTGTATTATACCGTATAGAGTAGTATAATAGTATAATTCTTATAATTTGTATCCGTGAATTATATTATTTATTAAGCAAACTATTTATATCAATCTATTTATTATATTCATATTTTCAAAAGTTATATTTTATATTGAATTATTGAAAAAATAATTATTATAAAGAATTAGATTTGTAAAATACTGATTTAGAATATTTAGTAAGAGAAAAGAGTTCAAATTTTGTGATTTTGAATTTTCATATTCATGTAATAATGAGTTAAAAAGTTATTATATTTGCAAAATTTTGTAACTCTTAGATTACTAATATTTATAAAATAATTATAATTGCAATTGTAATTGTAATTGTTAAAGCTATCTAATTTATTATAAATCTAACTCAGATTTATAATAATTTGACTAGCTTTAGCAATTGCAATTACAATCGCAATTACAATCATAATTATTTTATAAATATTAGTATTAGTAATTAAAAGAGATCATAGAATTTTTTTTTTTTTTTTTTTTTCCTTTGACAGTCATATCATAAACTTTATTAAGTTGTTAACTATAGCCGTAGCCAAGTTACATATGATTTTTTAATCGACCTAATTTCCTAAGCTTGATATCACCTAGCTGCTACTAGAGTACTCAAGTGTGACCTGTCACACTAGTCTAAAAAAGACTAGAGAACTATATCTGACTCTCTTACACCTTACAATTAGCTACTACCTGACTGATAATAACTTTTCATAGAGGGAAAAAAAAAAGCTAACCTGAAGGTTTTCAACTCTTTTTTGTTAAATTTTACTAACAGAAAAAAATACGAAAACTAATACAAATATATGAAAATTATAGGAGTAGATCCACTACCTAGCCTAATCTCCTATTTACATAAATAAAAAGTTAAAATGTAAAATAAAACAAAAACAAGAAAAAAACAAAACTAAAAAAGGAAATAAAAAAGACAGAATAGAAACAAAAAGACTTAGTACAAGAAAACTTATACTTAGTTGAATCAGTAAAAATTATATATAATATCAACACTATATTATATATCTATAGTATATCTCTTTACATGTCGATGAGGTATCAGTTTTCAAATTAGAAATCTACATGTTATTTGTTTACTCTAGTCACGTCTGAATTAGTTGATCTAATTAATTTATTCCAAAAAAAAAGTTGCACCAATGCTGATCTTCTTACGGGAGGAAACCAGATTTTCTACTTTTTGAAAAACAAAAAAAAAAACAAAAAGGAACTGAGTAATATAAGGAAGTCCAGGAGATAAGTTTTCATTAAGCAATTACCTAGTAACTTAAAGGAGTGTAGAAGTTTGTATTTATAGAATAATATATTCAAGCAAGTATTCTGCTTAGATAGTTGTCTAAGCGATACTTGACAAATACTTCTGGCTGTAAGCTAACTATAATAATGGTTCTTTAGTCTTTTATTAATGAGCCAAAGCTAAGACACATCTATTTCATCTCTCTTTTAGTTGGATCCGAATTAAAACTCTTGTTCTTAATCGCTATAGAGAAGTTTTATAGTTACTCTTACTATATTAACTATAAATTTACAGTTCAGTTTTGTGAAAAAAAATGGTACAGATAATCATCAGGAAGAGTTCGATGATAATAAATTAAAAGAGATCATAGAATTTGCAAAATACAATAAATATAGTAATTCTTATAATAATATATAGTGGGAATAGTTATTATTTAAGATTATTTTATACTATAAATTTTAATATTTAAAAAGCTAATAAGTTAAAGTATATAAATTGTATTAGAAATAAAATATTAATATATTTTATTTTAAATCTATTTCAATCGAATCTAATATTCAAATTGTTTAAAAAATAAAAAATATTTGTAAATAAAAGAAATAAACCAGAATTTTTATTTTAATTCTAAAAGCTTTCAACATTTTGATTTTTTAAAAAATAAATTTTTTTTTTTTTTAACTTAGGTAACCTTATCCTTGGTTTATTAGTAAAAAATTTATAAAGAAATTATAATACAAAAATAAGAAAAAAACTTATGTTCTAAACTACTAATATATTCTACCTTTGCAACTTTAAATTCACTCAGCTTGTTTTGTGCTACTTAGATATGATTTACTGCAAAAAGTATTTATCTTTCTAAAAAATATCTTATCTAAGTAGAGTAGTTCCTTCAGATCAATAATAGGTTCTTTTATACCTTATCAAGGTTCTAGGTTGCTTCTAATCTAATTAAAACTAAATTACAAACTATTAATATCTAGTCCAAGTTAAAAATAAAAATTGTTGCATATAATAAAATGTAGCTAATTATATAAACTAAGCTTGTAAGAGAAAAATTTGCTACCAGATTAAAAAACCTTTACAAATAAAAAAGTAAAAAAAAAAAGAAAAAGAAATAAACACTCTAACTAATATAAAGAAAAAAAAAGTGTAACAAAATATAAAAATATTATGCTATGCAAAAACAAGAACACATATCTCTAGCAATAACTTTCTCTAAAAGTTAAATCCTAATTAGATCATCTATATGATGATAATATATATGTTTGTTGTCTTATCTAAGTTGCATATCAACAGATGATTTGCTAAATTAGGAAGTGATATAAACTTGCAGATCTTTTGTTAGAAGTTCACCAAATCCTTAAAAAATAAATTTAAAAATACTTTATACTTTAATTATTAAAAAATAAATTTAAAAAATCTCTTAATACTTCGATTTTTTAAAATATAGTTTAAAAAAATAAAATAAATTTATATGTATTTAAAAAATCATATCACAATTTAAATCAAAACTAAATAAATTATTATCTTTATCATTCTCAGCTTCATTATTATTATTATTCTCAGCATCATTATTATTATTATTCTCAGTTTCACTATTATTATTATACTTGGCTTCATTGTTATTATTAATACTTAAACTTTCATTATCATTATTTTTTGTTTTTTCTTTTATATACTGCATTCTTAAATTACTATATATATAAACTAACTTTGTTACTTGCTTATTTTTTAATCAGTTTCTAACTTTTGAATGAATATATTCAAAATTTGAAAATTTTCATTTTTTTTTTTTTTTTTTTTTTTTTTTTAACTTAGGCGATCTTGCCCATCATTTTATTAAGAATAAGCTAATTTAAGCTACAAGTAAAATGCTATACTATTTATAACAAACTAC